CTCGAGCAGCCCTTCTTGCGCTCGAGCGACTGTCTGATGTCTGTAAAATACAGGACGAGTGTATTCTACGCTCGAGCGGGTATCTTTGCGCTCAAGCGGGTAGTGCCTTGTTGTTGTGTCTTGGTGCTCGAGCGTCAAACTCTCTGCTCGAGCGGACTGTACGTATATCAGATCGCGAAAAAAATCACTTTTTCTGTCATTTCTCTCTCTAAAACTTTCCAAAATCCTAAGTTGAGAGCTTCTCTCTAAAATACACTCTCTCTTTACATTTTGGCCTTGATCTAGTGATTTCCAACCCTTGTGTCTTCATTAAAAAGTTGGAACTTCTCATGATCTTCCATTTAATCCGAGTAAAATCAAGTTTGGGCGTCATTAAGGTTTCTCCACTTCTCCTTTGAGCTTCTACACTTGAGGTAGGGATATTTTACTCTCCTATATGGGTTTTAACCTAAGTATTAGTCATTTTGTATAAATTGTGGATTTGTGGAAGATTTGGGTAAAGTTAAGGTTAGTGTTTTGATATTTGTAAAAGAGGGCTTTCCTATTTTGGGTTCTATATGTATGTAAGACCTTGAGAATAGGGTTGTTTGTATATAATGGGGAAAATTTGGCCTTGGGTGTAATGTTTGAGAAAATGAAGAGAAGGCCCTAATTTGGTTTATATGAACTATTTGTTTAAATAGTGAAATCATTGTGGAAATATGAAATTGGGAGAAATTGTGGTTAAATGGTGTAGTTGGATTGATGAATCACTCACCTATGGAAAATGTGTTATATTATCTGTTGAGAAATTTAGTTATCTATCTAGATATATCTGTTCTAGGCTATCGGTGGAGGATAGCCATGATTGTTATAAAAAAAACATGATGATTAGGTAAATTGAAACTAATCAACTAAAGTTAAGGTTAGTGTATTGATATTTGTAAAAGAGGGCTTTCCTATTTTGGGTTCTATATGTATGTGAGACCTTGAGAATAGGGTTGTTTGTATATAATGGGGAAAATTTGGCCTTGGGTGCAATGTTTGAGAAAATGAAGAGAAGGCCCTAATTTGCTTTTTATGAACTATTTGTTTAAATAGTGAAATCATTGTGGAAATATGAAATTGGAAGAAATTGTGGTTAAATGGTGTAGTTGGATTGATGAATCACTCACCTATGGAAAATGTGTTATATTATCTGTTGAGAAATTTAGTTATCTATCTAGATATATCTGTTCTAGGCTATCGGTGGAGGATAGCCATGATTGTTATAAAAAAAACATGATGATTAGGTAAATTGAAACTAATCAATAGGAATATATCATTGAATATGACGGTTGGAAGTAAACATTGTCTATGTGATTCAATTGGTCATTGTATATGACGACGTATTTAAATACATTGTATATGTATCTTGTTTGGGAGGAGATAGGGGATGTACACCATTGTTTGGCAGGAGATAAAGAATGGACTCCAAGAATAATTAAGTTGGCCAGAGTGTCCATGGTGAAAGTCCTGAAATCTTATTTATATTTGGATGTCGGTTCCCTCGGACGTAGTTCCCTTAAATAGCAAAGTTATGGAAGTGTATGAATTATGTATATGATCGAAGTGTTGATGAATGAGTTATAGTCTCATTTTGAATTGTTTATATGATAATGAATTATGTCAATGAATTGACTTGGGTAATAACTGGAAGTGAATTGAAATGTGGGTATCAATGTTGATCGAGTAATGAAAAGGGTTTATGATGGTTCATAAGTGTTAAATATTTATTGAATGCTAATGTTTTAGTTAATTCTCATATGTTGTTTAGCATATCTCTACTGGGCATTGGCTCATCCTACTTGGAACACCATTTTTCAGGTACAGGTGGTATGCCGCTTCCAAGATCTTAGCTTGGGGGGTTTTGGAGTTGAAGACTCCCTTTTGTTATTTGTTTTGATGTTTAATGTATATTCAAGCCTAGGACTTTTCATGTATAGAGTTAGAACTCTTTTTTTGTTGTAACCAAGTGATAACTTGGAAAGATGTAAGCCCGTAAGGCACTTATTCTGTAGTAGACATTTGGAATTACATGAAATACCTTTTTGAAATATTAACTATGATGAATGAACATGTACTCTTTTCTTTATGTTCACGGAACTTGTGAATGAATGATTTATGTCTCAAATTGAAGGCGTTACACCCCATTTCTTTTTCCCTTTTATTTACCTACTTATAATGGATAGCATACAACATCATGCTTCTTTTAGCATTTCCATGATTAGCATCCATTTGTCTTGCATGCATAAGGTTCGATTCATCATTATAATAGCATTGTCATTTATTACTTTCTTAAATATGTGCGCCACCGCTATCAAAGTGATTTATATGACATATTAGGCAACCGAACCTATTAGTTGCATTTTTGCATGTTTTGCATTAGTCATTTTGCATCATTAGAATCATGCATTTTTTCTAATTATTTTTATCTCTTTTGGCTTGCCTTGGAGTACTAGGTGAGCACTTATTGCTTTAACATATTGCATAAGTGTTAGTGTTGCCATATCAAGCACATGATTACCATGATGCTAACTGTTTACTTGATCTATCTATTGAATGTCTGTAAATGAAGGCTAATTACTTAAATCGGGATAGTTTGATCAAATGTACATATAAGATCACTTTTTCAAGTGGTACATATTCAAACAATTTTCAAGCAAACATTAAATCAAATTGTTTTACCTTTTGCAAATTAGTCTATACTTATGTGCGTCACATAGTAAATTAGCTTAATAAATTGGAACAAGAGCATATAGTGTAAATAAGAATCGCGTCATGATTAGTAGAGGCTGATCTTTGATCGGACGAGTGGGGTGCTCAATTCATGACCTTCCCCTCTCGTATTTAAGTTCCCGAACCGAGACACTTTGGTGATGACGGATAAGTGGCATTTGGTATGAGTCTCGGGTTTCCTAAATTTTTCAAAAATATTTAGGTGGTGACTCTGAAATTTGACAAAACAGTCAATTTCTGACATTTTGATTCAAAATTGATTTTTCAAAAGATTTGCCAGATTTGAACTCATTTGTGTCTATCTATTTCACATTGCACTTGTAAAATCAGATTCAGAGCCATGAGAGTCTGAACTGTAGAGCTAGTCGTATCCGAAAGGAGCACGAAAAGCAAGCTACACCATTACACAAACACTTTAATTTACAATTTTACGAAAATTTCATCTGCGAGAATCAATACCAATGTATACGCGCGATTTTCGAGACTTTCACCCTAGACACACAGGCCAACTTAATTCAATGGAGTCCATCCCCTTTCTTCTCTCAAATATGGAGTACATCCTATTTCTCCTCTCAAATATCATACATATACAATTATTAAAACACAATCATATTCAATGACAACCAATAAGAGATTAGTTTCAATCCACCTAATCCTCATGCAATTTCTACAACAATCATAACTATCCTCCACCGATAGCTCAAAACAGATATTTTTAAACAGATATACAATCTCCAAGACATATAAATTCTTCAAATTTCCATAGGTGAGAGATAACATGTATCTAATTCCACAATTTATATAAACATCCATCCAATTTCACATTCCCAATACCAAATTCATTATTTATACAAAATAATCATTTGAAACATTTTAGGGCAAAACTCTATTTTCTTCCAAATCCAATCCATGTGTCAAATTCAACAAATTTAACACAACACATCCCTATATCTACACTCATAACCATTTTCAATATCTTCATTTGAAAATATCTCTTTTGATTTTAAACCAAAACCCTAGGTTTGTCTAAAATTCTCCAAATCTCAACAGTTCTTACACAATCAACCAATAACTAAGTTAAAAATCATAGGAGAATGTAGAAAGTCCCTACTCCAAGCTTAGAAGACCAATGCAACAATGGAGGAACTTCAAACACGCCGACACCAAATCTTGTTCGGACCAAAATAGAGCTCTTGAGACACTTTACCTTTTTAACAAAAGCACACGGGTAGAGAAACCAGCGGATCTAGATGAAAATGTAGAGAGAATGTAGATTTTAGAGAGAGAAGCTATAGATCTAGGGTTTTTGAAAAGTAGAGAGAGAGCGAGAGAGATGTGAAAAAGTGATGTAAAATGTCACTTTTACGGACTGAATAATGCACAGTCCGCTCGAGCGTCCGACACAACAAGTTGTTCCGCTCGAGCGCAAGAAGTGACGCTCGAGCGCCAAGACACAAACAAAAGGGGGCCATTGCTCGATCGCAGAAAGTTACGCTCGAGCATAAAATACACACTCCCAGTAGTTTTGCAGACAGAAAACCATCGCTCGAGGGTGAGAGTGACCGCTCGAGCACGTACCTGCTCGAGCGTAGGAAACGCCGCTCAAGCGTAGAATACATTCTCCCAGTAATTTTGCAGACCTTCAAAAGTATTGAAAGTTCACAAAGCCCGCTCGAATGCAAGAAGTGCCGCTTAAGCGGATGAGCAAAATTCTGAGCAACAAAATGTTTGAAAATCAAGTAACTAACCTGTTCAAATACAACCACTGCAACCCAATAGCCAAACTCAAGCATGAACAAGGGAGAAAGGACATGAACAAGATTCAAAAATCATAAAACCTAAATCCGGGACATCTCAATTGATTTTTAACTCCATTTATCAATCACTAACTTTTATTTGTTTGTTCCTTCAATTTGATTTTATTTAAAAGAACTTGTCATGGTTTTAGATCAATCTTAAAAAAGTGAAAACATAACAAAGAAAACAATAATGTTGTGTATTTGGATTTAAGTAAGAATTTTTAGAGAAAAAATAAAATGAGAGAGAAAAAAATGAGAGAAATGTGAATCTCTCCTTTTATTTTACCTTTATATATAAATCCCTACCCAATTTTAAAATTCAAGCACAGCTTCAAAAAATGAAAAAAATAGTGTACAAAGCTTCTCATGTTAGTGTATATGCACCACTAGTTGTAATTGAAAACAAAATAGAATGATTTCATTTCATTATCATTAACAGTTCTCTCTAATCATCAAATGCATGATTTACAGTTCAGTAAGTTCATAATCACCTTTTGTTACAATAAAGATAATGCTATCAAAACAAAAACAATAAGTACAAAATGTATCAAATGCTTCATAACTTACAATTATAAACTAGAAAGTTGAATTAACAATTCCACCCAAGGCACCAAAGTTGGGGTTAACTCATATTTCACATATATTTCTCCAATTTTTTTATTTTTTATTTTTTCCACTGCAATTCCTTGCTCCTCTACTTTGAATTCAGCATGTATTTTCTGTTTTCCAAAACATCTAAATAAGATTTGGACCTTAATTGTTGATGGGTTAACTCTTATTAATTAGGAGGAAAATCTTATCTTGCATATTTATATTTATGTATTAAATTGTGGCTATAAATCAGGGAAGCATGTGAAAAGATGGCTTGCATGGTTGTGAGCATTTAGCTCATATTCTTGGGAGACTAATGGAAAGTTCGAATGATTGAGCCAGTTGTCTAAATTTTTCCAATCAACATATTGGCATCCTTGATTGCTCCTTTCATCTTCACAATCTTTGTTGATGATGCCATTTTGCTGATCAGAACCGCCTTTTGTGGCCAAACTTTCTGAAAGGCTGGGACTATCTAGCTGTGGAAGTTCAACAAGCTGGTTTTCAAGATGAGTATGGTTGGATATAAGATCTTGTTCTGAACCAAATGGTGATTGTGGAAACGCAATGCCTTGATTCGTATAAACCATTTGCATTGGAGCTACTGAATCCGAACATGAAGGCAAGTTGAAATTGCCATTGTCCATGGCATAGTAAGCATTATTCCAAGCTTGGAAGCCTTGCTTGTGATTTGGACTCGGTTTCTTGAATGCCCGGCACACCACCCATCCTTCTTCCTGCAATAGTATCCAATTCAATTAGCTTTATTGATTTGATTAAAAAACGCTCATGTTGAATCAAAATATGTTGTAAGCCTGTAAAGGAACGAAAAAAGATCCTCAATCTTTAAATCATTCTTGCCTATTGATTTTTCTTTTATAATTTGGCAATTGTACATGTTTTAATACAATGAGAATATAAGAATTTGAGAACATAATTGCTAGCCGTAAAGGCACTACCACGTATTAAGGCAACATCATAAGTTAAAAATTGACTTTCTTTATTGCCTAACCTATATTTGATTTGTTTTTATTGGTTTCTTCTTAAAACCCTTTTGGATGGAATAATAAGTGAGAGTGAGCATGCTTTGTCTGTTTAAAGTACTTGCACTTTCAACCTTAAGAAAGTGACCTTCCTATGGGACTTCGCTTTCTCACTAATAGTATAACATTGTTGAATTGGTTTACTACAACGTGATATAATACAAAATGTAGAACATGGTATACCAATAGAATTTTTATATAAAAAACAAATAATCTGACAATAATATTTTTTAAATTATGTCATAATTGTTAGTGTTTGAAAATAAATAAAGGATGCCAAAAAACTATATTATTGTTTCCAAAATTTTGCGACAAAATCCTGTTTGTTTTGCATTACTCATTAATATAATCCCACATAACGGTACACTAAAGTAATTTAGTTTAAATAATTCTATTAAAAAAAAAAAAAAAAAACTTCCAAAACAACCTATCCTAGATAAATGTAATATTGTTAGCATTGTGTTCTTTGTTTAGCTTCGCTTTCTGAGTTTATTTTCAAAAAAAATAAAAATAAATAATCAAAAACTGTAACACTTATTTGGTAAAAAAAAAAAAATCATTTTCATATGATTCATCTTTTTTAGGGCGTCATCTTTTTTTAAGGCGGAAATAATTTTAAAATAAAAAAATAAAAAAATTGATGTTTTTTTTTTTTTTTTTCAAAATACATATTATGGAAATGAAACATATATAAATTCTATATGTGCTTATATTTGGAAATTATAGAAGTTAGTTTCCCATTTATGTTCTTGACATTGTTTCCCATTTAGTTTAGAAGTAATCTTTATCAAAAAAACTTGAAAACATTTGTTATGTTGCAAGCTATTGATTGAACTTGCCTGAGGAGGTGCATGTTCAGATGTTTGGAGTCGATATTCATGCATGATCCAATCAGATTTCCTTCCATTGGGTGCGCGGCCCTTGTAGAACACTAGGGTCTTTCTCATCCCTATTATTCTGTTCTTTGAAAGCACAACCTTGTCTCTCCCTGTTGCCTTCCAGAATCCAGCAGCAGTGGCTCTGTTAGTCCTCGTTCCCGTTGGATACTTCTTGTCCTTGTGACTGAAGAAATACCACTCACTTTGTTCTTCATATCCCAATCTACACCTATCTGTATTTCACATCATCGTAATTTAATCAAACCTAAATACTACATGGTAATTTTGTTTCGTCAATTGGTCTAAGTAATAAGAAAAAATTTGAAAAGAAAGCCAATTTACCTTGGATGTCCCATGGTTCAATTCTGTAGAGATCAATGTCGACAATGACATCTAAATCAATTTTCAATGAGTTAATCTTTCGCTTGAGATAATATTCCACGAGTTCTTCCTCAGTTGGGTGAAATCTAAAGCCAGGAGGGACACATGATTCCATCTCCATTGATTTTTCTACTAAAATATAATGACAAATATATTAGTGAGAGAGAGAAAAGAAAAAAAAAATTATGTTACACATACAGAAGAAAATATGTATATATATATATATGCAGTTAAATTTAAACTTGATTATTTTAAAATAAATGACTACTTTAATAATAAAACTATCAGTCATATTATTTTGGTGAAGAATTTATATAAAAAAATTGTAAGAATATAATTTCTGTTTTCATTGCTAATGTCTCATCATAATAATTAACAAACTCATCATTGAGTTTTTTATAATTTTTTTTTTTTTTTGATATTTTAGATTAGCTCATCCTTGAGTTTTTTTTTTTAACCGTAACACCACAAGAGACTTCGGAAGGCAAGACATGTTCGTTTTGTATACGATGATCATAAATAGTGATGTACATTGTTGAACATCAGGTCATGATGATCTGTACTTGTCAAATGGTCCTATATGTGTGAGTTCGTCGGGGCCTAAGGCGAATTTCGGAAATGGAGGTCCTTTTATATTAAAAAAAAACATGAATAAAACGATAAGTTACAATTTTTTTATTTGTTTGTAACCATAAAAAAATTTACTTACACATATAATTATTAAAATTATAAATAAAACAATTTAATAAAACAAAATTAGAACAAAAAAATTAGGAAAAAATTATTCAATTAAAATTGATAAAGACCTAGGTAAAAAAATTTGAGCAAAATTATTTATTCCACTAAAATCTAATAGATAAAGAAGGTAAAAATAAAAAATAAAAAAAAATAGGGCCCATATATTGTATGTATTATTTTTCTTGAGCCCAAACACTTTTTTTTTAATATATATTTTCATTTTAATAAATATGGACCAAACACATTTATAAATAAATATGGGCTAAATTATACATGGGCCCAATAAAACATTTGGGGCTCTTTAAATTGATCTTAAAACAAAAAAAAAAAAAAGTTGAACCTATAATAATTTTTTAAATTTGAGGGCCCTATTTTTAAGCCAAAATATGAGACCTAAGGCACAAGCCTTACCTGCCTTTGGACAGGCCGGCCCTGTGATTGTCATTGAAGAAATGGCAGACCAACTAGGGTACCCACCAAACAAGACAGATATATTATATGGCCTAAACATGGCCATTTGCCTCATTGAAAATACTTATAGGCAAGTTTATTGAACAGAGCCGAAAAGATTGACTTACATAGACACAAGCATGCTTTACATATGAATATGTATGTTCCTTTGAGTGCAGTCCACTCCATTGCTCATGCTGGTGGAAAATGTATTCACACCAACCCTTAGAACTCAAATTGGTGACTAGATATTTATTCAAAGAAAATAACTTGCTACTAGTGTTAAACAATTACTACTCTTTCTCACTCTCACTCTCACTCTCACTCTTTTGAATGTAACTTCCTATCCTACTAGTGTTAAACGCATACTCTCTCTCTCTCTCTCCATATATATATATATATATATATATATGTATACACAAATGATAAAAATATTATTTATTAGATTTTAGGTCTTAAATTTTAATCCTCATACCCTCGGACATTAAGTGAAGCCTTTTTTATTTTATTTTATTACTTAGAGAAATGAGACATTTGACATAACTATATATATATATATATATTATGGATATGTGGGCTTGAACAAATATTTAGTATAATATTGATACCATCTTATATAGTGTTATTCATCAATAACTGATCGAATTGAATAGACATAATTTCTTTTTTTATCAGCAAAATAAAAATTTCATTAGAGACGTGAAATTAAAAGTACAAGAAGATGAAATGTATCGAGAAGGATTCGGAAAGTACAATTCACCCTTACTACTACTGCTTGCATCAACACAATCACCTCCTCAGCCTCATGATTTTTAATTAATAAAAAAGAAAGAAAAACAAAAAATACAAAGAAAAAAAAAAAATATATATATATATATAGTTATGAAGATCTTCACACCTCAAAGAGACATAACTTACCTCCTAGTAACTTGATTATGTAGTTCTAATTACCATATTATTAAATTTTTTTATTGACTGATGATACAATCACATCACATGATATTACTATTATATTTAATATTTATTTGTGGCCCTAGAATACATGTGCATGTGCTCGCGTGCACACAAACAAAACATGAACTCCACTTTAAGCTCAAATCTTAATGGTTGTCCTGAATAGTTGGTGAGTATGCTGTTTATACAATTATTTAGAATTCAACTCTTATGCCAATTTGGGAGAAAGAAGTTTTTCATGAATTTCCTAATTCTGTGTTTGACCGAACTAAAGAGGAAATTAGTTAAGATTCGCATAAAATTTTTCGAACATCCCTTATTGTTAAACCAAAAAAAATAAAAAATAAAAATTGCTAAGCTCAAACAAAACATGGGCACTAATGGGGAAGCCCGTTTAGATCACAAAGGTATGAGAGCATATATGGCAAACTTGGATGATGCAACAAGCAAAAACATGTGATAGTCTCAAACTCATTCATGAACTCTGAAACATTATTCATTGATTATCCATATACTATATATAAATCAGTTCAAAACCAAGAAATGGCTCTACAATATATATATATATATATACTAACCAGAAACTCCGACCTTGCCTTGTTCTTGCACTGTCCTCTGTGAGAGAGAGAGAGAGAGAGAGAGAGAGAGTTTTGGGAATAGATGAATTTAGATGTGAAGAGAGGTGTGTTGGGGATGTTGGAGCTGAATGTTATTGTTGGATATGAATATGATAACAAGTTATCTCAATGTGCGTGTGTATATATAGTAATAGTACAATAAAAGGTGAAGGGAGGAGAGAATGATATTGATTGCGCGTGGGGGGTGGCAGATAGATGAAAGGCTTGTTTGGACGGCGTGACACCAAATTTTCACGCCACCCTCTCCACCGATATATTGTGTCCAAAGATTTTGCAAAATAAAACTTTATAATAATATCAAACTCCGTTCACATTCACATTTTCATATATCTGTCTCCTATTTTACATTTTCAGATTGGAATTTGAAAAACCAACCAAATACATTCCTCTCTCGGTCTCCTCGTCTCTTTTGATGCCCCGCCCTTTGACACTTGTCGTGCTTTTCGAGCTGCCATGTGGATGCCACATAAGGTTTTCAACCTGTCTATATGACCCAACTAATCATTTGGGGCTACCACTTCCTCTGGCGATCAGTAGTCTCACAAAAACCACCACTCTTCTCACGTCACCTGAACTTGCTTAAACTTTTGATTTTATTTATTTATTTATTTGAGAAAGTTAGTGAATTATCAAGTTCAATTATTATTAATGAAAAACCTAAGTAGTTCATTAAGAGTTGGCCTGTGCTGCGTAATGCAAATTTTCCCCATCTGTGTACTTCTTTTTAAAATAAAATTCTCTGGCTTTGCTGAGTAGAACAAAAAACGTAATTTATTATTATTGTTCTTATTATTATTTTTCATGATCAAGTGTCCGGATTAGTTTATGCGCACCTCGATTAATTTTGGAACTCACACAAGGCATTCCCTCCACGTGAATCAGGCAAAACTCGAGTAAAGCCCATGGGCGTGTCCTTAGAGAGAGCACACACTTAGACCCCAAGTTGCACTCATTAAGCCAATTCCTCGGGGTTAAAAATAGAAAAGAAAAAAATGAAAAAATAGTTCATTAAGAGGATTTTATTTCATTAACATGATTATCCATTTACACATCCAAAAAAAAGAGCAAAATCCATTTTCCCTTATTAAATTGAAAACCCTTTCTTTTCTTTTTTTTTAATAAACAATATATAGTATGTTTATTTGCATTATTATTATTATTATTATTATTATTATTTGGCAAGTTTGTTTGCACGAATTTTGAGTAAGGAATATTTCTTTTCTTTTTTTTTTAATAAACAATATATAGTATGTTTATTTGCATTATTATTATTATTATTATTATTATTATTTGGCAAGTTTGTTTGCACGAATTTTGAGTAAGGAATATAACTATAGTACAAGTTTAACATTGTAGATTACCTGCAATTAACAAATTTCAAAATAGAAATTTATATTATGATTTTTAATTAATAATATCATGGAAGCAGGCTCCTCTCTAATTGAATTTTCCAATTGCAGGGTGTTGTTGTGCCTTTGTAGGCCCAACACAGAAACCGTATTGATAATCCGAACCGTTGATTATGTAGGGCTCATCGAATACTTCATACCTATAAAAAATTATATTGATCGGATCACATTTGTGTGAACAATTTATTTTAGAAATTATATTTACCGTTAACATAAATATGACAAGATCAAGTGTATATTGATATCTAATCGACGTAATTGTTTACAAGGATGAAGTACTCGATTGAATATTTCGGATCATCGATACGGGTTTCATGATGGACCCACGGAGGCTCAACAACACCTTCGATTCTGATTTGGACTAGAGAGAAACCTGCTCCAATATCTTGATATGTATCTACATTAGGGACACAATCATATGCCGATCACAAAATTATGGATACAATCATATATTGACTCATATATCAGTAAATATCGTGTAAGAAATCAAGATTTTTATTTCGGTTTCATTTGTTTTGACGTAATTTTTTTTTTATATATAAATATTTTACTCATTTTCTGTTGTTTGGTTAAACAAAAAGTAAGCAAAATATTTTTTAAGAAAAATATATTTGCATTATTTTTTAAAAAAATGACTTACCTTTAAAATTATCGTAAGTCAAATTTTACAAAATTGACTTTCACTCACTACATTTTCAACACATTTAGTCTTTTCAAACAAGTATATTAGTTCACCAAAAAGTCATAAATGAAACTTTATTGAATCAAAATTTCTTTTTTACGTAATAAAATATTTTTGTTTCAAATGTCAACCAAACGCCGAAAAATTATTATTATTATTATTTTGTGTGTATAAAATCAATTTATAAGAAAAAAAAATTTTGTGTAAAATACTTTAAATTGAAACAAACAAAATCTTATGATAAATAATTGTGAAAGGACTATATCATCAAATTAATATTTTAAATTATAAATAATTAAAGAATTTTTTTAAAACTTATAGCGAGGATTTTGAATTTTGATATAATATGTTATTGTACTTCACTTTGATTATTTGTTTGTTTATTTTTGTGTGGGTATGTTTTCAGAATTTGAGAAGAACACTTCATTTCCATTGGGACAAGGCACCCACCGATTTTTTAAATTATTTATTGAAGAAAAACGTAAAATCAGGTGTTTGTTTTTTTTTCAATTGAGGAAAAAATCAGGTGCTTTTGATTGGGCAGAATTGTAAGGTTCAGGATTGTAGTAAAATATTTTGAACAGTGTGACCCACAAGTAGTTGATGATTCCCCAACTCCCACATTGAGAGATCTTTTCGAAGAAGTTTTTGGAAAAGGAACAGTGAAGGATAAGGTGAGCACTAAGACTTAGGAGCCTAATTAATGACATTTATAGCATAGTTATTAACATTATTATATGCTACTAATTGACAAAATGACAAAGTGGCCCTTTCACTTAGTGGTTGATTTGGTCGGCACGTCACTTCTAGTCTTACATGGGTTTCATTAATTCTCTCACAATTTTACTTTAGTTAGGGATGATTTGAGATGATATAAACAAACGTATTTTTTAATTTTTTATAAAATATGAGTTGAATATGGGTTGGGTTTGAAATGATGTAATAGAAAAGTGATATGATTTAAATAAAATGATGTGATTTAAATAAAATAATGACTTTTTAATTTTTTGACTTTTTTAAATTATGACAAAAAAAACCTTAATTTGAAAAAAAAAAAAAAAGCGTTAACAATAAAAATTAGATAAAGTAGTGTTATTTTAAATTAAAAATTACTCACTTTTCAAATTCAGTAATTTAAATATCTAAATAACCTCTTTTTTTTTTAATATTTTTTTTTAGCCTTAGTTTGGTTTTTATCTTTGGCTATATAATTACAAAAAGACAAAAAAAATTACAAAATCACAATTATCTAAATAACTGAATTATTTTTTGTACACACTAATAAGTTTAAAAATTAAATATTTATTATTTCAATCAAGGTATGTGTTTAAACATTGAATTCTTATTAGTCAAAAACATGTCTCAATTAATCATGTTAGGAATCCCCTTCCTAACAATGATAACTCCATTTACCGTTATAAATGAAGGAATTTCCACTGTTCTTATCAATCAAGAACATCAAATCAATACCTTAAAAACTAATCTCATTTATAAACAAAAACAAATTTGTTTACTCCAACAAGATATTTCTGACAAAGTTTTCAATCACGAATTAAAACAATCTCGTGTCAAATCTATTATTCAAAAAATCTAAACTTTATTTGAAAAAGACTTATGCTCTGAGCTGCCATTTGCTTTTTGGCACCACAAACAACATATGGTCGATTTACCCTATGAAAAGGATTTCAATGAAAGACAGATCCCTACTAAAGCTCGACCCATCCAAATGGACAAAAAATTGATGGAACACTGCAAACAAGAGATCAATGATCTTTTTAACAAAAAATTATTCTGACCAAGTAAATCTCCTTAGTCTTGTCTCGCTTTCTATGTCAACAAAAATATCGAACTTGCAAGAGGAACGCCTCGTCTGGTTATAAATTACAAATGCCTCAATGCTGTTTTACAATAGATCATATATCTAATTCCCAACAAAAAAGATTTATTAAATCGATTATTTGAAGCAAAGATTTTTTCCAAATTTGACATGAAATCAGGATTTTAGCAAGTTCATATTTCAAAAAAAGATCATTACAAAACTACTTTTACAATATCTTTTGGACAATTACGAATAGAATGTTATGCCATTTGGCCTAAAAAATGCTCCATATGAGTTTCAAAACATCATGAATGATATTCTTAATCTCTATACTGCATTTATAATTGTCTATATCGATGATGTACTCATTTATTCCAATTATGTTTCCTAACATAGTGTACGAGCACGGAATAATTCTTCTCGTATGATCCTGTTGATCAAGTTTGCACTCCTCCAAACAACGTTGCTTTGCCACCTGAAAACACAAACCTGAGCTAACCGGCGAGTGTGTGTCGTAAACCCCTCCGATGCCTAAGTCAGCAACTAGACAATAGACAATAAGCTCTGTGTATTCTAGAGTAAGAATTGGGAAACCTCTACACAGGTCTGGTCATGAGCTTTTATAGACTCTGCTTGGCACATTCCTAGTAGGATTCCAACTCTCCCCATGAGAGTCCTCATAGGAATCACACACCCTACTCACTACCAACCAAGTGAGATGGTTTTGCACAATTCTAGTAAGACTCTATTCTTCTTAGCAGAGTCCTCATAGGAGTCATACTCCTACTCACTACCAACCAAGTGAGATGATTTGCACAATCCCAGTAGGACTCTAACTCTCCTTAGCAGAGTCCTTCTAGGAGTCATACTCCTACTCACTACCAACCAAGTGAGATGATTTGCACAATCCCAGGAGGACTCTAACTCTCCATAGCAGAGTCCTACTAGGAGTCTCATCACTGCAAGCCAAGTGAGATGGCTGAACCTTTTACCTCGGTTATACATTTCTGACCGAACTGCCTTATCTCGGTCCCTTGCCATTCAGACCGTGTGATCGAAAGCCAATCTATCGAATGCCACCCTGCCGAGCTATACACAACTTGGCCCTCGCCATTGATGTTACCTCCTTTACCTCGGCTAACATCTTTACCTCGGCTGACTGTCATGCCCCGAACCCGCCCCTAT